CAAGTAATATTTAGTCTTATTGTAATATATATTAGTCACCTGATCTTATTAAATTACATATTTGATATATCTGTTACTGAATCTTATTATTCCCGAAATATATAACTTAACCGGATCGGCCGAAAAATCAAATTTCACAGGTGTCCAGGAATTATGATAATAGCTGTAAAAGATTCTTTTTTTTTTGATTCGAATCAAATGACATCAGCTTGAATTTAAATGATTTTTTTTAAATTGAATCAAATGACGCAGCATAAATCAATAAATATTTAAATAATATTTTTTTATTTTTTTTTTCGTTTTCAATTCTCTTTTCATTATTCTTTTATCCAAAATAGATTTAATTATAAAATTGTTGTAATATTGCTTAGTTTTCAGAAAGAATTTTAATAATAATTAATACTACTTTATCTAAATTATAAAACTCTTGTTTTATTTAATTTTACGAATTAATTTTATGATCTGATCTACGCGGGTTGGGTTCAACCCTAAACCCGACCCTAATGACCCTTTCGGAGCACTGGATAAGCCCTAGTCGCAGCTTAACAAAAATAAAATATGACAATTCATTATAGTATTGTATTTCATTGAATGTCTATTAGGAAATTATTAATCGTGGCATCTCTTATTATTGTTATTAGCATCACCAACGCAAGCTGTTGCAGGACCAAAGACACAATCATTCTTAGTCTCGCAGGGATCTCCAGGTTGACCGAGGCTACACTGTCCACCATCACAGTGTGTACTAAGGCAATCAGTACCAGTACTGCACAGATCTCCAACACGAAGCTTTTGACAACTCACTATTTAATAAATATAATCAATTTAATTGTTAAAATGAAAAATAGTTTAAAATTTAGCATGTTTTATTAAGGGATTAATCACCTTTTTCAGAAAGCAATAATGCCGCGAAAATCACAACAAAACCAAAATAAATCTTCATAATTACAGCAAGAATTTTATTATAATAAAGGTAATTCGGGTTTTTTTCGAGATATATATAAATTAAATGGCCTATATGATTTTTCGATTAACCTTCTAGACTCTTTTTCAAAATCCAAATAAAGCATTTCATTCTGTTTAACAAAACCTCCGAAATTAGTCAAAATTTAAAACTTGCCCAAATTTCCGAAGTTTCAAAAAAAGTTCGTGTTCCTAAGGAAACCAATCTTTATTTCGAAATTAGGGTGTTCTCAAACGCATTAACCAAAAAATATCGGGAAATAAATTTTACTCAGCGGAAAAAAAATATTTTAAGCAGGTCATTAAATGACATTTAATCAATACCGCAATTTTGTTATGTAATTTAAAATTTTTTTATTAGTAAAAAAACATTGAGGCTGTCATTTCTCTCTGACTATGTTTTTGGTTAATTAGTCGATACGTAAAATCATTCTAACAGCTCTTTATGATTAGTGCTAGGATGATCGTTCCAACAACTCTCTAGGTATTTTGATTAGGATGCCAATGAATATCGGGCGCATACCGGAGATAAGCTTCCTGATATGTAATAGAGTTGGGCAACGAAACGAAACCTACCTTTCGGAAACTAGTTTCGAATTTTTTAATATAATCCGAAACTATGCAACCAACCAGATCACAGGATTCCATGTAATCAAAGCAATAGTAAAGCTTGATGGCAAACTTTGTGCATTAAGTAACATATAATTTAACCCACCTAATCTAAACCATACCTAACCCTAACCCTGAAACATCAATTTTAAAAAATTTATAATAGAGCAGTGATAACCACTTGCAGTGAAGTTTAGTTTTAAAATGTTTAAAAAAAGATAAAAAATAAATTTAAATTTTTTTAAATTCCAAAAAACGCCTATAAATAATATCATTTATAAATTTATTTAAATAATATTTATTAATAGCTTTGATTGTAGAATAAGATTAATTTCAATGATATCTATCCTAGTTATTTATTCGGTTTTAATATTTATTACTATATGTACAAAAATCATATTTATTAATAGCTTACGTACGATACATTTATATCAATATCATATTTATAATAGATTTTCAACTACACTAAATTAAATCTCGGTATTTCTGATGTACAAAATAGCTACCAGCATATTAGCTTGATTAGAACGAAAAGATATTAAGTTTTAACTGTTTCGGGGTTTCAGATGAGGTTTCGAGGTTTCGGATAGGGTATAATCCGAAACTCGAAACTTTCGGATCTTGCAAAAAAAGGTTTCGTGGCCCAACTCTAATATGTAGCATATTGGTAAGATATCGGGAGGTAGATCGATATCGGTAACATAAGTATACAATATTAATATTGGGCAAAAATTGTCGAATAACGGTAATTTGGCAAATGAGCACAGCGGCACGTGTAGCCAATCATTTGTCAAATTACCGTATTCGACAATTTGCCCAATATTGGCAATTTATGATCATGATTGGTAGGGAGTCGCTCGCTGAGTTTTAATTTTGAATATTGGAATAAACATAATTACATCGTAACAAATGAAAAAAATAAAAAAAGAAATTTTTTCATGATCATATGAGCTTGCCGGATGACAGCACAATATTGGGATACCCTGATACAGTACCGATATTTTGCTTTATTGCTGATATCGTTCTACTCCCGATATCTTACCAAATCCGGACTGCAGATCATGGGAACAAGGAACCCAGTAATCATCACTTTACATGAAATCATGCAATTACGTTATTTGTTTACTAACACTAAACAAATTAGCTTAAACCAACCTATCACCTAACCCTAACACTAACCCTAACGTAGGCCGAACACTTAATCATGTGATGCGATTATCACGAAGATATCATTGGGTTCCTTCTTCCCCAGATGATTTCCGGAGTCCAAATCTTTGACCAATCAGAATCAACTAAATTGAAAATCCTTTTTAAAGATTTCTCAATAACAACTTGATAATATTTATCAAACCTTTTTTATCTTAATTCAGTATATTTGCAGAATTAAAATAAAAAAAGCTTATTGAATTTTGTTTTATAGTTATTGAGAAATCATTAGTAGAAGTTTAAAAAATCCTTTGACTATCTCTTTTAAACTTTAAATGAAGATTTCTTAATAGTTATTTATTCAAGTTCAATAAAAATTTTTTTATTTTGATTTTGTAAATTTCTAGAATTAAAATAAAAAATATTTATCAAATTTGAATAAGTAGTTGTCATGAAATATTAATTAAAAGTTAAAAAAAATTGTCTCTTTAAACTTTGAATAAAGACTATTTAATGTTTACCTAATCAAATTTGATGAAATTTTTTTATTTTAATTTTATGAATTCATAGAATTAAAATAAAAAAAAAACTTATCAAAATTAATCAGATAAGCATTAAATAATTTTTATTTAAAGTTTAAATATCCATAAAAAAAAGAGCTATAACAATTTTTTATTTTTAACTTTTAATGAATATTTCTTAACAACAACTTATTCAAATTCAATAAAATTTTTTTATTTTAATTCTACAAATAACAAAGCCAAAGTAAAAAATTTAGATAGATAACTGCTGAGAAATCTTCATTTGAAGTTTAAATAAAAAAATTTATTGTAATTTTTCTTTATAAAAACAAAAACTTGTAATAAAACTTTTTTGTTAATTATTTATCTAAATTCAATAAAACTTTTTTTATTTTGATTTCTGTAGATTAGTAAAATTAAAATAAAAATTTTTATCAAATTTGAATAGTATTTGTCAAAAAATATTTATTAAAATCTAAAAAAAATTTGCTATAGCTCTTTTTTTATAGATATTAAACTTTTAAATAAAGATTACTTGATATTTATTTAACTAAATTTAATAAAAGGTTTTTTATTTTAATTCTATGAATTTATAGAATTAAAAATTTTATTAAATTTGGTTAGATAAGTATTAAATAATCTTCATTTAAGACAATTTTTTTTAATTTTTAATGATTATTTCTTGACAACTAATTATTAAAATTTTAAAAATTTATTTCTGCAAATTTACAGAATTAAAATAAAAAAAAAATTTACTGAATTTGAATAAAATAACTATCAAAAAATCCTTATTTAAAATTAAAAAACTTTTTAAATTTATTTTTTTAATATTTAAAAAGTTTTTTAGACTTTACTAGTAATTTTTTAATAACTATGAAGCAAAATTTAATAAACTTTTTTATTTTAATTCTAAAAATAAACTGAATTAAAATAAGAAAATTTTGCTAAATATTATTAAGTGGCTATTGAGAAATCTTTACTAAAATTTGTAAAAAATTCAAAAATTTAAAAAGAATTTTCAATTAGTTGATTCTAATTGGTCAAATATTTGGATTCCAAGTAGTGTTTCTACAAAAAATTGTTTACTCTGTAATTTTAACCAACCAAATTTTAAGATTAAGTATAATGTAATAGTTAAACCAAATGTGTTGTTTTTAACAAGGCATGCTTTCTCTATAATTGGCTATTGTATATAGATTATTTTAGTAGTAGTATAGCTTTTTTATCCAATTAGAGATAGTATAGATTATTTTAATATAATATATATTTAAAATACTGCATTACAAATTAAACTAAAAAATTCATCAATTAATTGACTAATTAGCTTAATATAATAGCATAGCCAATAATTACAAAGTATAATACTATATAAACAATTAGTCAACCAGTTAACTAATTGATTAACTAACTAATCAATTAATTGGCTAATTAATTAGTTGTTTAATAAAATTAATCAATTAGTTGCCAACATAATTAACTAATTAATTAATCAATTTTTGATTTAGAATATTAAATATGTATAACTAATAATATTATTAAATTTATTATTACTAAAATAACATTATACTAATTTTTTTTATTTTTAAAAAATTTATATTATAAGATTTGTCAACCAAATTTGTATTTTAATCAAATTTGTATATTTTGATCTAACATCAATAACTTATGTTCTAGTCATTCAATTTTGGTAATTTTTATATCATTCGAATCCTCTTTGCGAGAAGATTTGAATAGTATCAAAGGCATCAAGATCAAATTATTAAAACACAAGTTATCGATGATATATCAAAATATACAAATTTGATTGAAATACAAATTTGGTCGACAAATCTCATATTAAATTATTAATATATATATACTATAAATATTCTATTAAAAAACAAATAATTGTTTTTTCAATTCTTATATTAAATATATTGTATTTCTAATTCTTTACTAATAAATTACTATTATATATATTCCAACTCAATAAATTTATGTATTTGTTACAATATTTATTGTTTTGTCAAAAAGTATATCTATATTATTATCTAAAAAAATATTTTACCACCTATATTAGTTTTTTTTTTATTGGTTTTAAGGTGAGGCCTTGCTTGTATTTTTATTTAATAATTTATATAAATAGTTATATAAATATAAAACTATAAAAACTTAATTTGTATAATACAAATAAATATAAATTATATGCAAGAATAAAAGCTCAGACAGTTTATTATCTGTGATCTAAACCTACTAGAGTAGCTAAAACTTATCTAGATTTAAAAACTTTATACAAATCTAGATAAGTTCTAGATAAATATAAAGTTTAATAGTAATATTATAAAATATATAAGAAGTAAGTTATTTGTAATATGAAAAAATTTAATATAAGTTAATAGTTATAAATATAATAAAGTTAAAGAAGAATTATAATAAAGTTAAAATAAAAGTAATAGTATTTTTTAATATGTAGGCCAATGCAGACAAATTTGTCTATGTTTTTGCACTTTTTTAGCTCTCATTTACTTTTTTAAAATACTAAAATATTTAAATAAAACTTTGTACAATTATATTTAAAAATAAGAATTACTTTTTTGCAAAATTAGGTTTTATAATATAAGAAAAAAAGTTTAGATTGCTTATAAGCTAAAAATAGACAAGTTTAGAAAAATTTTTTAATCAAA